CATCTGTTTACTCGGCATTGTTGTGTTACATTACTGCCGTCAACAATCTGCTTTTGTAACAAGATAGATGACATTGAAGATAACATTACATTACAGAGACGTAGATATAATTTAAATACAGAGACGTGTTTACGTCAAATTCTCTGGAACTGTGGTTCCACTGTAACTTTTTATTTGAGTATATTTATGTTCAAGAAAATTGGGCTGTCTGGTAGTGTAGGTGTAAGAAATACAACTCTTGTTTATAGAGTCATAGGTCTGATCTAAGACACTGATTTTTACGTGCCTATATTGAAATCTTGTACTTTTGAATATACGTTAAGCTGTAGGTTCCCTCACCACCATCCAATTATTGGGAGTATGAGAATTTGCCCTTTGGGTGTTCTCTCCGTAAATGGATCCCTTCATAATGCCGGGAAGTGAGATGTCAGAAAGGTTAGGTAAAGGCCAAATGTGAAGGCATTTTCAAGAAGAAGTTTTAAGTACGACTTGGCCATGACAGTGGACTCAATAATAATGTGTTAAAAGTGAAAACTGGTGTTGAATAAAGAATATGTCTGTTAGCAGCATCCAGAATGATACAGATGAGGGCCTGGTCACTGAATCATGACAGTATAACCATCATATAGAGAGTGGATCAAATTGAACAGTTTTGAAATGATAATGAGTCAGGAGGTCTCCTCTAATGGAATTAATTCTTTGCAGAATACATATTCTGTTTAGGATTTGCTGCCTTCTTGAGTGAAGTGATGAATGAAATGCATTTGTTACTCTTGTTCTGTTTTTAAAAATAGCTCATTGTATGAAACAAGCAGAATGTAAAATTAAGTAATGCTGTTTAAAAGAATCATTATATGTCTTCGCTTAAATAGAGATTATAAGAATGACAATGCAATGCAGTTCAAAATATATAATAATTATGTTGCACTGTGCAGAAGTACATCTGCATATACCATGGATGAGTGATCATTAACAAACACTTTCCTGTTATATTACTAGACAGACAGATCGAGGGAATCAGGTATATGGAATTTACCAAGAAAATGAAAATGGAATAGATATGTCTTGTGCTTTTTTCTATAGTGACTTGCTTTATTGTGTTTGTTCCACATCCTGATCAGTCAGGATTTGTGGGATGTTTATAAAATAGATTTACCCATCAAAATTAGGTAGTCTTTGTCAGGCTATGTGTCCTGTTCATCTATTATAATTATCAATTACTGACCACACGAAGTGTGACAATTAAGTTTCCGGAATGTTCGCATCGAGTGAGCAATAACAAAACAGTGGCAGTGTTACACAAGCGTGTGTTTTAGTCCCGGCCGAAAAATGAGTATCAAAGCATTAACATCAAGTTTTGTACAGTTAAGAAAAAACTCGAGTGAAACTCCGCAGATATTAAGAGGCTTATAGTTCTGATGCTAGGAAGAAGTCGAGTGTTTTTGAGTGGAATTAAAGGTTTAAAGAAGGACTGGACTGCCGAAAATTTGCCGAACACATGACAATGCGAAAAAGTGAGGAAGTTGGTTCGTTGTGACTGACGATTGAACGTTATTTGGAAATATTGGCAAGGTTACGTTAGGCTGTTCGTCGGAGAAGACCTGAACTTTGGCCTCATGCTTGCATCTTGTTCTTGACGCGCTCGCCGCACTGAAGTTTTTGGCCAAACAGTCGATATTGACATGGACCAACTGCCATGTCCCGTGCGACTTTTCCGACATTCAGGGACATGTGACGTCCATCCTGAAGAGCATCCCAGAAGTGGGGTTGCATAAATGTTTTGAGTAGTGGAAATACCAACTCACGAAGTGTATTGATGCGCAAGGAGTCAGTTTCTAAGGTGACAGCAACCATTATTGTGTAATTAAATACGGATTTTACTGGGGCATTCCGGGAACATAATTGGCACACATCGTACTAGGTGAGAGGTATCAATCATATTACGTAATACAGGGGTTCTCAGCCTGTTCTAGAAGAATGTCTCATTTACTCTTACTGATTGATTCTCAGGCTTGAAGGTTGCAAATTAGTCACAGTTTATTGAAACTTCACAGAAATTCATTAAAACTTTTACTAATTTACTATTAAAAATAGGTTCACCTATTACTCAGTTTTCTTCAACAATATCAGTCACGTGACATTGATATTTGACACTGCTTTTATTTGGGAAATCTTTCAATGTCAGGTTAAATTTATGTTGTGATTTGCATACATCCCTTCAAACGTTATCAGTAAGACGTGTCCTATTTATTGATTTGATGCAAGCTCTTCAACAAGCTGTATTTGCTTGTAGCCAAAGGTACTGCTAGATACTGATGATATTAATAAAGCATTCGTTCTGGTATCAGGTAACTATTTTTATTTGTATATTCTGACGTAATATTACAGAAATTTGCACGGGCCACAAAGTACGTTAGAATATGTCTCATTAGTAAAGAAATAATGTCACACTCTTTGTGTGACATTAAAAAGTTTTTTTTATATTTTGCGTGATATCTGTTGTCTAGGTACGAATTAAACTCACATATGAACATTTTTGTGTGTTAGTTGTGCCACCAAGTTTGGTCAAAATCAGTTAAAGGTTTCAGTGATTAATTTAATTTACGAGACTTTCACATAAAATCTCATATTAACAGGAGGGTTTGTTTCATGAAACCCCGTCAAAGGAACCAAAATACGACATAATAGTTTATTTAGGACTTTAAGAAAAGTTATCTTAAAGCGGATTAAGCTAATTGAAACGGTCATATATGAAGTTTCCTCGGAGTATATTAAAGAACTTAAGATTCATGGGCTCATAAGGGAAGTGAACTAAATTAAACCAATTTAAAAACTGTACGAAATCACTGAAATAGCTTGCGTACTTTTACTTGTGGGTGAATGGGAGTGATTGGATAGTTCTCGTTTATTTTCCGAATCGTATCTATAAAATATTGTTTGCTTTTATTTGAAGTGTCGTTTTGAAGTCAGTGTCACTGGACGCTTGGAAAAATCTTGTTTGCGCCGATGAGGCCAATTAATTGATGTCGTGTGGCCAATTAGACTGTTTGTTGGTCTCGATTGGACGATGATGCATCTGTTTTGCTTAGAGGCTTGAGCTCCTTTACTTGGCAATGAAACATTGGCTTATGTTTTGGAACAGGCTTCAAGACGTACCGCGTTCTGAACATCTTCACATACAGACGTTTAAAATGAACATGTTGCCCCCATCTTTAGGGTTAAAGTGGGGAGGCTAAGGAACGTACAGGATTAGATGTGGGATCGGGCAAGCCGTGACGTAGGTTTTGAGGTTTACTTCCTTGTGTTAGTTTATGATGGCGTTTGTGATAAATCGTTCTCAACCTTTCCCAAACATGGGGTCGCATTCATAATGTCCTATCGGCTCGCGGGCCGCATGGTTATAAAATAGGGCAATTTATTGAAATTTCATTGCAGTTTATTAACATCGTCAGTAATTTCCTGTTGCAAAAGAGTTTACTTGTTTACACGCATACAAAATCGGTCAGTCACTGATTTTGCGTCAATGTTTTTCTGTGTCAGGATTGATTTCTGTAGCTGTGATTCGCGTGCCTCTCTCCTAGTGTTTATCAGTAAGATATGCCCTAGATCTTGATTCTTCACAGATATTTACAGCGATAATATTGCCAGACCCTGCCAACGTTAACAAATCGTGTTTTCTGGTATCAGGTAGCTTTTTGTATTATACAGAAAAAACAATATTATAAAATATACGTTGACCGCGCGGGCCGCGAGTTGAGAACCTCTGGCGTACTCAAACATTTTTAAATAATTAGACAGCGACATGATTCGGTAAATTACAGTGCCGTAATTTGTTTTTTTGAAACAAAGATGGCTGTCTTCTGAGTCGAAGCGCCGTGTAGTCTGGTTGAAGTTTCAGGGGTACTTGCTGCCTCCGTCATCAGGGCAGTGAGTCACTTATCGTCCTGATGATGGAAGCAGCAAGGACCTTTGAAACAACCCAGAAGACAGAAATCTTCATACTCTGATGACCGAGGCAGCAAGGACCTTTGAAACAACCCAGAAGACAGAAATCTTCATACTCTGATGACCGAGGCAGCAAGGACCTTTGAAACAACCCAGAAGACAGCCATCTTTAGGTAGTTTAATTTTACAGAAATAATAATATAAGACCAAAAAAATGGACTTAATTTGTTTCTATTTAATACAGGCAGGAAAGTACGTATATTTAACCACACATTTCCTTCTAGGGCTCTAGGTTGATGCGAGGATGAGGTGGGCGGGTTCTTATCAACGCGGTATCATGCTCCGTAAATGTCAGGGAATTTCTTGTCTAGCTGAGCGAATTGTTTCGCTTATCAGAAACGGTTCTTTTCGATGGAGATAATTTCTATTCTCGATGGCTTCGTCGGCAGTGTAGCGTCTGTACTAAAGTGAGTACACATGTGGTATAGGAGGATAATAATAAAGCGGATCTTGATTGAACCGGTTCGGTATGAATTCGTGCCGTTTTAATACATCGCATTTATTTCTGGACGACTTTTTGTTTTGGCTCGAGACAGAATTTCCGCGTCTGGTTACTGGGATGCGGACAGCTGTGATATTTACTTGTAGTCGTGTGTTATCGTCCGTTTTCTGTAAGAAGAAAGGGCCTTACAGGCGAATTCGATAAAGGAGATGGATTCAAGGACGATGAGATGGGAAGGGTTTATGCTAAATGTTTGTCGAAATATATCAGACGAGATCGTGGTAGAAGGTTAATGTTAAAATGGATGTTGGGTAAAGTTTTGAAGGTGTGAACTCGATTGAACTGGCTTACGACGACGATCCAGTGAAAATCCAGTCGTTTCTCCTTTCAACGGTTTCGTGCGGTTCTAAGAATAGGCGCATCAACACATCGATCTGAGGACGAAAATGTCACACGCTCCCTGACTGGAGAGGCACCACGGATGACGTACGGCCTCTCGCAGCAGATGTGGGCGCGATGTGTTTTTTTAACCTTTGTCTAGTAGCTCGTCAGTAACTGGCTGAGGGCTGGACGAACGGGATTCGATGCACGTACCTCCGAACACAAATGCTTATGCCGTTTGTTTCAGGAAGAGACGCCACCCGTCGGTTGATAACGAGTCGTGGCGCATGACGACGGACCGCGAGCCCGAGCCGCAGGTGAACGGCCTGCGTGTTGAAACTGCAGACCGCGACCCCACGTACGACGATGACGGAGTGCCGGAGCTGCTAGCGCACTCACAGGCGGTGTTGCGTCTTTTCGGCACAGGCTTCAACAACCACACGCTCATGACGGTGACCGAGACCCCTGGTGACCGCGGTAAACGCTGCGAATTTCCTGTGGCAGACGAGTTTCCAGTCGACGCTGACAGTCTGTCCGAGTTCTCGGCTCTCGTGAGGTTCCGCATTCCTGGGGTCAGTAGACCAGGCTCGTCATACTATTTGTGCGTAAAGAACGGCCTTGATCCTAACCCACAGTACCTGCACCAAGGCACTGACACCTGGGTGGCTCTGCGCTCTTACGAGAAGCTTCTGCCCATCTGGGTGTCCATCATCATCATGATTCTGTGCCTCACTTTTTCTGCACTGTTTTCAGGCCTGAACCTTGGTCTCATGTCTATGGACCAAACAGATCTCAAAATTGTGGCTAATACAGGTACTGAAGCAGAGAGACGTTACGCGCTTGCCATCATGCCTGTACGAAAGAAAGGAAACTATCTCTTGTGCAGCATCCTGCTGGGAAATGTGCTTGTCAACTCCACGCTCACCATCACATTGGATGACCTCACGTCGGGTCTCGTGGCTGTCATCGGCTCAACATTAGCCATCGTCATCTTTGGCGAGATCTGCCCTCAGGCAGTCTGTTCACGTTACGGACTAGCAGTTGGAGCAAAGACAATTTACATCACGCGTGTTGTGATGATCATCACATTCCCACTATCCTATCCCATCAGCAAGATGCTGGATCGCATCCTCGGTGTGGAGCTGGGCAATGTGTACAACCGGGAGCGTCTGAAAGAGCTGGTAAAGGTGAGCTCATAGTCACATTTTGGATGTGGGGCTTTGCAATTTATGTAATGTGGATCGGCAGGAGCTAATGAAGGCGAGTTCATCGCACTCTAGGTGTGGAGATGAGAAATGTAACACAGAGCATTTGCAGGAGCTGAGGATACTGTCATATTCTGGGTGTGGGACTGGGTATTTCATGTAACACATTTCATCCGTAGAAGCTACTTAATGTGAACACGTCATCTTGTTATAATCCGTGATTGATCATTCAGTGAAATTAATATCTGTTTACTGGACGACTGGGCATTAACTCCCACATTCAAGCTTATCCTTTTGGGTCTGTGTCATAAGAATGTGACTGTCTTTGTATTTAAGTTGACAACAGAGTACAATGACCTGGAGCGGGATGAAGTGAACATCATCTCAGGTGCTCTAGAGCTTAAGAAGAAAATAGTGAGTGAAGTGATGACCCGGTTGGAAGATGTCTTCATGCTGGCATATGACACTGTCCTTGACTTTGAGACTGTGTCTGAGATCATGAAGCAAGGTAATGAATGTTAAGGCTACGGCTTTACTTTAAAAATTTTTGTGCTGTTATGGAATCTGAAGGTTAATTTCTGTGTTTCTGTCTTCACAGAAACCTTTCACTGGACCCCATCCTGAACCAGTTCAATCAAGTTCTGGTTATTTCCCACACCATAACTCGTATTCATACTGACTTCGTATACCAGTTATGGCATTGTCATGTAGTTTCTAGCGCTTTGTTAAAATTAGGCATTTACAATATTTTGTGTAATGAATAAGAGTGTTTTTCTTCTCTGAATGTCTTTGGCAATGTTATAATACGAGGTGCGATCGAAAGGTTTCCAGACTGCGCGTATAAAAACCCGTACACTTATCTCAGGTATTACATTCATCCATCACCCTCGAAGTAGTTCCCCTGGGAGTGAACACAACGATCCCAG